AACTACCTGAAGATTTTTTGGAAAACGAATTTCCTGAATGACCTTGCTGCTTCTCTGCCCCAGTACGAGTTACAGCATTTCACTTGCTGGATGCACTTTTTCATATTGTCCAGAAGGAGGCAGTGGTGAGCCAGAGTCCTGTTCTTGTTCCGTCATCATGACTGCAATGCAAAGCAAGGTCTCTCTCAAGGGCACACATCATATCTGCAAAGTCAAATGGAAAAACAGGGAGAGGCTGTGTTGGCGTTTTCTGTCGGACTAATTAAGAAGAGGAGCAATGTTTTCATTCCACATGCACAAATCCATTCATTTGCAGTTGCTACATCGTGCAACTGTACGGTCGAAGAGTGAAATATGACACCAAAACCTCAAAATCAGAAATAACGTTAAGCACAGAACTGGCCTGAATGTAACCCTTTCTGCTACATTTGGCTGAATTATGATTAACAGAGGATTTGTGTTTTGCTTGCAGCAAAAAAACAGTTGAGCCATCATATCTCTCCAAGTGCCTTACCTTTTCGAAGTCATCAAATATACATGGCCCTCTGAGCGTCCATATACAGTAATGTATTCACAGATCTCTGTTGAATTGCAAAGATCCCCATCAGCAGTTTGCTTGTATGGGCGGGTGCATGTGGGACCAGGAAGTACACTTAAATCAATAACTCCTGATTCATGGTCCTCTAGAAGAAAGTAGCTTTTGCTGTGGGCCATGTTGCTGTAGCGTGTTTTACATTTAAAGTCCAAGTAGATTCCAACTGGCAATGTGTTGTTGTTAACTCATGAGGTTGTTCATGAAACATGTTAGCATGCAAGTTTGAATGTTCAAATGATACAATGCAATATAGAAACCAATAATGTGTTCTCTCCAGTGTCATTATTGATCGTTGGGACAGAGTATCGAGCAGTTTTTTTTTTCTGTTTAGTAAAAATGCCATTCCCCACGTGACTTCATTGCCCAGTTTTGACTTTACCTGCAGATGGCTGTCATCGTGGTATTTCATCTCCATCAGATGCCTGGTTTGGGAACGTTGCTTCCAAATATGTATTGTAAACTAATGCTACTCTTTACTCCTTCACTTTTCCCTCCCCCTTCCTCTCTGGGGTCGGACTTAGAGTAGCTCTCTCTCTCTCTCTCTCTCTCTCTCTCTCTCTCTCTCTCTCTCTCTCTCTCTCTCTCTCTCTCTCTCTCTCTCTCTCTCTCTCTCTCTCTCTCTCTCTCTCTCTCTCTCTCTCTCTCTCTCTCTCTCTCTCTCTCTCTCTCTCTCTCTCTCTCTCTCTCTCTCTCTCTCTCTCTCTCTCTCTCTCTCTCTCTCTCTCTCTCTCTCTCTCTCTCTCTCTCTCTCTCTCAATGGACATGAGTCATTGGTGGTCACTTGTAAGAAGCCTCGTCAGCGCAATCTTTATTACTGTACAGATGAATGGACTGCATATGCCTATGTGTCTGCCTGACACAAAAAGAAAGCAGTGTGCATGTGTGTTTGGTTCATAAAGACAAACACGATGACGCTGATCTGTTGATGACCGTGGGTGTAGTGGGCGTGGTACGCGGGTGTACGCCGTCCACCCACTTCTCCCGACGCCACATTCAATTTTTATTGAAATGTTTGTTTATCATTGTTCTAATGCGAGTTATGCTTAATAACGTTGGCCTGTGATTATTTTGGAGTAGTAAAACATTAAATTTAACGTTAGTTCAACTGGTGTTGTAGCCTACAAACTACCTGAAGATTTTTTGGAAAACGAATTTCCTGAATGACCTTGCTGCTTCTCTGCCCCAGTACGAGTTACAGCATTTCACTTGCTGGATGCACTTTTTCATATTGTCCAGAAGGAGGCAGTGGTGAGCCAGAGTCCTGTTCTTGTTCCGTCATCATGACTGCAATGCAAAGCAAGGTCTCTCTCAAGGGCACACATCATATCTGCAAAGTCAAATGGAAAAACAGGGAGAGGCTGTGTTGGCGTTTTCTGTCGGACTAATTAAGAAGAGGAGCAATGTTTTCATTCCACATGCACAAATCCATTCATTTGCAGTTGCTACATCGTGCAACTGTACGGTCGAAGAGTGAAATATGACACCAAAACCTCAAAATCAGAAATAACGTTAAGCACAGAACTGGCCTGAATGTAACCCTTTCTGCTACATTTGGCTGAATTATGATTAACAGAGGATTTGTGTTTTGCTTGCAGCAAAAAAACAGTTGAGCCATCATATCTCTCCAAGTGCCTTACCTTTTCGAAGTCATCAAATATACATGGCCCTCTGAGCGTCCATATACAGTAATGTATTCACAGATCTCTGTTGAATTGCAAAGATCCCCATCAGCAGTTTGCTTGTATGGGCGGGTGCATGTGGGACCAGGAAGTACACTTAAATCAATAACTCCTGATTCATGGTCCTCTAGAAGAAAGTAGCTTTTGCTGTGGGCCATGTTGCTGTAGCGTGTTTTACATTTAAAGTCCAAGTAGATTCCAACTGGCAATGTGTTGTTGTTAACTCATGAGGTTGTTCATGAAACATGTTAGCATGCAAGTTTGAATGTTCAAATGATACAATGCAATATAGAAACCAATAATGTGTTCTCTCCAGTGTCATTATTGATCGTTGGGACAGAGTATCGAGCAGTTTTTTTTTTCTGTTTAGTAAAAATGCCATTCCCCACGTGACTTCATTGCCCAGTTTTGACTTTACCTGCAGATGGCTGTCATCGTGGTATTTCATCTCCATCAGATGCCTGGTTTGGGAACGTTGCTTCCAAATATGTATTGTAAACTAATGCTACTCTTTACTCCTTCACTTTTCCCTCCCCCTTCCTCTCTGGGGTCGGACTTAGAGTAGCTCTCTCTCTCTCTCTCTCTCTCTCTCTCTCTCTCTCTCTCTCTCTCTCTCTCTCTCTCTCTCTCTCTCTCTCTCTCTCTCTCTCAATGGACATGAGTCATTGGTGGTCACTTGTAAGAAGCCTCGTCAGCGCAATCTTTATTACTGTACAGATGAATGGACTGCATATGCCTATGTGTCTGCCTGACACAAAAAGAAAGCAGTGTGCATGTGTGTTTGGTTCATAAAGACAAACACGATGACGCTGATCTGTTGATGACCGTGGGTGTAGTGGGCGTGGTACGCGGGTGTACGCCGTCCACCCACTTCTCCCGACGCCACATTCAATTTTTATTGAAATGTTTGTTTATCATTGTTCTAATGCGAGTTATGCTTAATAACGTTGGCCTGTGATTATTTTGGAGTAGTAAAACATTAAATTTAACGTTAGTTCAACTGGTGTTGTAGCCTGTGATTGATGTTCTGTATGTATATTTAGAACATCCCAGAATCGCGTACACCCACTTAAAAAATCTCCACTACACCACTGTTGATGACCATTGCCTTATTGATATGATCGACTGCACAAGGAGTGCAAGACCACAAAGTCAGATGGATCATATCTATAAAAAGATAGAAGGGGATCAAATGTGTTCATGAGACTATAAGACTAAAATATTTTCAATAATGGCTCGTTGAAGTGCGGTACATGTGACTCGGAAAGGTACCCCCTTCCTTTGTAGCTCAAAGGGGCATCTGTTAGGACACGTGTGGGCTGTCACGGGTGGCACTCTGTGGGGAAACTGCCTTCAGTACAGTCTGTCTCTTCAGGGGGAAGCGGTGCTTTGGTCTTGATCCAATCATCGTCGCTGTTTTTATTTTGTTTTGGTTTTGTTTTTTTCTTGGATTGCCATATGTTTTCAGGGTTAACAGAACGATCTGTTTCACTGAGAATGTCAAAATATAACTTAGGCCATTATTTTAAGAGGCCGACGATGAGTAAGGTGATGTCCTGTACCTTTAGATCAGTCAGTGCTCTCTTAACATGCTGCCTTTTGAAATGTGTAACATCAGCTGTTGTGATTTGATGCACAGGAAGGGGTAATCTTCCAATGATAGTCAGGGACATTATTTCATATTCATTTCCAAAATATGAGATACATATGACAAACAAAATGAAACAGATGACCATGGGGAAAAATATATTAATATTTTTTGTTTTTTACTAAACAGTACAGCAAATGTACTACAATTCAACACAGTTAACTAGTTTACTGTCTTGAGTGCATTCACAGGTATTCAAGACCCGAAATCAACTACGGTCATTGACCTCTTGGTAATAATGAAGACCCCTTTAAATGTAAGCATAATTTTAAAATGATAATGCTACATATGATATCCACGTCACTTCTTCTTTCAAATTCACTTGATTACTGGTCCAGTGGCTGCACAGCTAGTTACTCGTGGCTAAACTGCTAATGTGAAGTGTGCTGTCAGCAATGCCAGGCTCCAGTTGCATGTTCATGCTTTCCACGTCATTACTTAGTTGGTTGTACTTCTTCAAATGATGAAACGGGTTTGTTACATTGCGCGTTTTTGAGAGCATCAACCGCCAACATCACTTGCATAATTTGCTGTCTTGATTTGATGCAGTAACTTTTCTCGTTAAAATAGGCCTCACCTACTTCAATCAGCGGATTGGAGGATAATGTTAAGTCATAGCTATCAACTATTTTGCTGGCCTCAGCAGTATCATTAGCTGCACTTTCTGTCTTTGTTCTTCCTATGACTCTGGCGGTTTCTCAATATCAGGAATGCAGAATACGGTCTTGTGAACTTGCCAAGTCTGGCCTTCCTAAGTATGTACTCGAGAATGTGCTTCCCCAGAACGCTAGTCTCTTTGTAAATTGGAACACCTGTGTATTTGTAAACTTGACTTCTGACTCTGACATACAGTATTTCCATGACAGCCGCACCTTGGGTTATTTCCCAAGCCAAGTCTTCACCAGTATCCAAGCGATGCATCCTTGTTTGAGGCTAAAGTCTCCTCCCCTGTCTTGACACTGCGCTAGGAGTCACAACAGAACTTTGGGTCAAGGTGTGTGTCATTCAATCTGAACAAAAGCTAAACATCTTTTGATGCCATCCATCCATTATTTACCACTTACCCGGGGTTGGGTTACGGAAGCAGCAGCTTCAGCAGGGAAGCCCAGACTTCCCTTTCCCCAGCCACTTCTTCCAACTCTTCCGGAGAGATTCCAAGAGGTACCCAGGCCAGCTGGCAGACATCGTCTCTCCAGCGTGTCCTTGGTCATCCCCAGTGCTTTCTGCTGGTGGGACATGCCCGGACTGGCCAGGTAGGTGTCCAGAAGGCATCCTAATCAGATGCCCAAGCCACCTCATCAGGCTCCTCTGGCTAGTGCCTCTCCTTTCTTCTTCCTTCAGTTTTCTGTCACATTTGCACAGCAGCAGGTGAAACTAATTTGGTGACATTGTTATTGGTTCCTGGACAGGTTGGTATTCCAGACGTGTGACTGACTTTTTTGAAGTTAGTGTGATGATTATCTCTTCCCTTTCTTTTGAGAGCAATACCTAACCTATAGATGCAAACATATGAAATCAGTGTGAAAACTAGCCATGGGAATCCCAAATCTTTGCACTTCCCTCCTGCTCCTGTGTGACTGCGCAGTGGGTGTGAATGGAGCGCCTGCCCTGTCCCGTCACACTCTTCTCTCCCCTGCATTGCTCCGTGACAGTACTACTGCACAGACTTTCTGAGGCACCATGCTTCCCACTCTGGGTGCTTTGTAAGTGTATTTAAAGTGGGAGGGAGACTGCCTTCAGAAGTATTTTATTCCTATTTCAATGTGTGTGTGTGTGTGTGTGTGTGTGTGTGTGTGTGTGTGTGTGTGCGGGCGTGGCGCAGGGAAGTGCTGTTGGTTACAGGGAGATTTGTAATTCTTAAACCTGTACTACCACCACAAAGGTGGTGGAAGCACGTTAACATATTCATAACCCTAAGGATGGAGTAAAAAAAACTTGAAAAGTGCTGTTCTGGTCACAGCCTTTGAGAGAAGAGACAATGAAGATTTACTCGCATCCTTGTGCTTGCTTACCTCCTTTTCTTTTCATCCAATGCAATCGAGTGGGTGAAAATTGCAGTATGTCCTACACCCGATCTGCAGCTCCACCCTTGTTTACATCACATTTCAGGTCTTCGCAATGGAGTGTTTCCAGTTGTCATACTGAGCTGCTTCCTTTGCCACTCCTTTCACCACGCTGTTGGTCATCAGGCAGGAAGTGATCTCTTGACACCGCAATCTGGTTATCTGTGGTGCCACGCCCCAGTGAGAACCTCCTGTCTCCAACCATGGGCACGGGTTAAATGCTTCATGAAATTTAATGTCCTGCTTTAGTGGGGCTACGTACAGTATGATAAAAACAACAGTCCTCTCGAGTGTCATTCCAATTTCTCAATGTTAGAAATTGCACAAATCATTTGAAATCACCAGAACAACAGAAGTACACCATAAACTATCTAAGTTAAGATATTGCTGTCTTACTCAGCTTCATCGTAGATCTATTTCCCAATCTATTTGAAGTTATTCTCTTGTTGTGCAGCCCCCCGGTAAGTCACCTGTCAGGAGGTGCTGAGATTCTATAAATGAGGACGTGAGCACAGTACTTATCGTCTTTACATTGCGTAAATCTTTGAGGCAGCCAGCAAGTCCTCCAGTCGGTTCTGCGCATGAAGAGGTGCCTTTACGCAATGCAGCACAGCAGCACCACTGCTCACTGCACGCGACCTCTGAGGGCCTCGTGGGCTGATGGACACGAACACACACACACACACACACACACACACACACACACACACACACACACACACACACACACACACACACACACACACACACACAATCACACACAGTATTACCTTCAGTAGCTCAGCCCCCTCCCCCTCCTGTCTTTATTCTCCCCCTCTGCCTCTGCCGTTCCCTCCACCCTCTCCAGGGATCTGAGAGTGCTGCATGGATGATGGACAGCAGACTAATGTAAAAGCTAAATCACTCCTCCCTCTGACTTCTCAAAACAACCTCACAGAGGTCAGAGTGCCATATTAATATGGTAATATGTGTGAAAGAGTGAAATCATAGGCCAAGATGTCCAAATGCGGCTTCTAATTCAAAAATGAATTAAACAGTTTGGATGGGTTTTTATCTTGCAAAAGAATTTGGAACATTTTTCAATGCCGTCAGACCAAAGTTGTTCACTGTTCTCATGAAGTGGCTGACCCATCTTCCTTCCTCGTCATATTATGCCATGAACTCAAAACCTTTGACACGGCACATGTGTGAGTTTATATTGACAGTAACTATGTAAAAGACATGGGCTGGAACTGGTTTGCCAAACAGGGACTGTTCATATATTGTACATCATGTTGATTTAAAAAAAAAAAAACAGTTCTTAATGGACAATGCTCTGATATGGGCCAATGGTACTCTATTAGCACGAGTGAGGTTTCCAGATCAGGTGTGAATTAGCTTCACATCGGGCTGCAGAGAGGTGCAGAGTTCATAAAACAATGCTCAGCTTTCAAGATCCAGAAAAACTGTTTTCTCTGCCAGAGCAATTCTCATTGATCAGGCTCCTGTTTCTATGCAGCTCTGAACGGTATCCAAATAGATGAAGGATGTTTTGAAATGCATAATCCACACACAGTTTCCTTTCATTTTTTTTTTCTTTTTGGGTCGGATATTTTTGTACTGTATGCTTGCGTCTGGGCATGAAAAAAAGGATGCTGCCAGAATTTCAAAAGGCTTTCTCTGAGGATCTACTGACGCAGAAACACAATCTGATGCCTTTTTACTTGAACTTGCCGGAGGATATGGCACTAAATTGCAAAATTAAATTGCTGTTCCATGACACAACGTCACTGTCATGGTACTGCGATGCAGTATGACAGATACAATACAATACAACCAATCGAAAGACAATTTCGTTACTCCTTATTTATGGAACGACATTCAGTAATTTCAATATCTCACTACAGGAATGTCACAAAAATGCAGTAGAACGTAGATTGAACACATTCTGTTCAGAGATGTTGATCTCAATTTTACTGTGATATACTGTACCTCTCATAAGCTGTTGAAGCGCTGTTGGTGGAATTCCTCCATTCCATGCCATCACAGGTGTTTGATTTTGAACTTCTGGCTTCTGACAATGTGGATGGTCCTTTATACTCTTTGGCCGAGAGGACATGGCATCCACGATT